CCGCCGGCCCAGTGCCGTGTGCTGGCCGAGTGTGGCTGCGCGTATGCGTTCTCCCCGCCTGCTGCGGGCCATGCTGCTATCCCACCGTCCCGGTGGGGCACAGCCCGGCAGCAGACTGCCTGTGAAACAAACTTGGGGGTCAAGACCTTCCTGTCTGGAACAAAAACCGAAATGTGTCTGCGCATGTGCCAAGGAGGAACTTGCATGTCTACCAGAGGAGGACACTGTCTTCACCAAGGTGGAACGGCAGAAGGGTGCTCCATGGGGAAACTGAACACTCACAGAGGCCAAACGTGCAGGGCTGGGTTTGTAAACTAACATGCAGTGCTGTCTGCTAAAACTGGCCCTCTCCAGCCAGCAGCGAGTGAGAACTCGCTGCGGAAACCAGCACTTATTCTTGCCACAGCCAAATTTTGCCTGGCTCTGTCTAGAGCTGTGACCCTGCTCTTGCTGGAGGATGAGGAAGGGAAATGCCTTTTTTCCAGCAGTAGTGATGGAAAGGGCTTGCCTTCCTGCTCCCTGGGGAAGCCGGGACTGCGGCTTTACCGTGGGAGGTTGAAGTGGTGCTGAGCGGGACTGGGATCCGCTGGTGATGCTGGGGGGCAATGAAGCAAACCTCTCAGCGGCAAAGCGTGCCCTGGCCGTCTGTCTCACCACTGCTCTGCAATGTCACTCCCTGCCAACCTGTACCTGCAGCCGAGGGAAGAGCTCTTTGCCCTGACACTGCCGAGGGTGGACGCTTTCTGCGGCCTCAGCAGGGGCAGGCACTGGCAGCGGCTGCTGCTGCGCGTAACCTGCCTCTGCACTTGGGCCCTGCATGCCCCGGGGCAGGAGGGGACGAGGCTTGCTGCGGTGGGACAGCGTCCACAGCTGCAGGCCCAGCGGTGCGGCAGGGCAATAGCCAAGCTGTAATTAGAGGGTGACTGCAGGGAGCAAGTGGCATCTTTTGAAGAGGCAGAGCAAGCTGGCAAGCATTCTAGGCCCAACAAGCGTGGTGCTAGCACATGAGATGAGTGGGCAGGTTGCTGTGCAGGCCTCCCCCATGGCTGCAGAAGTGCCTCAAGTAATTTTGGGAGGCTGGAAACAGCATGTGAGCTTGTATGTGGTGGTGTAGGACCAGCTGCAAGGGGCAGAGCGGTTAGATGCTAGGAAATCCCAGTTCCCGCGAGGCTGCCCTTCCCAAAGCTAAAGGAACTTTTCACTTGCAGATGCCTGCCTGCTCTTTCAACAGCTCCCGAGCAGCTGAGGCAGTGGCAGGAGCAGAGAGCGCTGCCCTGTGCGTCTGCACCATTCATCAGCCTGGAGCTCCTGTGCTGAAACCCTGCCAGTCACCTCCTGTAAATGCTGAGCTCCCCATGCCCTTGGGGCTAGCTTCCACACCAGGGTCTGCAACACGGGCAATGCAGCTGTGCAGATAGCTGAGCTGCCCTGGCAGAAAGTCTGGCTGTGGCTGTGGCTGCTGCTGGAGAGAAGGGAGGCACTTTGGGAGTGATGGAAATGTAGGAGCAAGGTATGAGCAGGCACAGATGTGCAGCTGGGGCTTGGTTTTCATCTGGGAGAGTGTCCAAGTAGTATCTTAAAGCAAATAATTTAAAAAAAAAAAAAAAGCAACATCAAAAAAACCCCACTGCTTTTTATCCAAGCAGCCCCAAATAGCTTTGGCTTGGACCTGGAGGAGTAGAGGAGCTCTGCAGGAGCGGGGACTGGCAGAGGGGGTTCCTGCCCTCAGTGAGGCAGGAGCCGAGGGCTGCAGCCACTCTCAGCGGGCAGGATGGAGGGGCAGGGCCTGGACGCCGGGCCCAGCCGTGCCAGGCAGGAGGCTGCTGGGGTGCGGGGCGGCATTGGGGAGCAGTTTGGGGGCCCAAGGAGGCGAGCGCTCCAGCACAGGGGCCCAGCTCTGGCCAGGGGACAAAGTGCTGCCGCTTTGGGCCAGGCTGGTGCAAAGCAGCAGCGCTGCCGGGAGAGGGCAACTCTTAGCAGGCTGCTCTTCGAGTGGAAGCTCAAATCTGCTGTGAAACAAGTTCAGAAAAGTCTGTGACTTCTTTTCCCTGAAAACTCTTAAGAAGCTAAATTGAGAAGAGAATGAACCTGCG